AGTAGATATCACAAACTAATTTTCTGGATGCATAATTGCTTCACGTCTGAACCTGTCAAGTTCAAACTAGAATACAACACAGTTTCATATTCTAAAGTAATAAGGTCACATTCATGCTTTAAGACTATCCTCCAGTTCTCCAGTTTTCATGGATGAAAAAATGAACACATTTTTATTAAAATACAAGAAAGTAATTCCGTATCTCCTCATTCATTTCTCTTATGGTGCATTTGACTTATAGATTTGATGTGCAGAAACTTAGGTTACACGAATCTAACTATTTTAAATAACCGATGATAATCGCATATAAAACAAGCCGAGAAGTTGAGTGAATATACTGATATGGTTATGGGGAATGAATTCTGCTTGAAACATCATCCACTTACGACTAATAATAAGAAGGTACTACTGTGCGTGGTACGGATCTATACAGTAATTCGAGGATCTATATTCACGATTTCTAGATTTCCCTATCTTTTATTGTGAAGCTTGGAAATAATCATCTTGGTCAAACCATTGGTCGCTTTGAAGTTTATAGAAGATATTTAGACGATACTTTAGTTACTGGGATAAGGACATAACAACTGGTGATATTTTGTTTCAGTTCAACAACAAGCTGTCCTACCTTAAGATTTACCATAGAAAAGGAGTTTCAATATAGTATTCCTTTTCTTGATGTGTTCCTTACAAGACGTAATGATGGATACTTCAGAAAACCCATCCGCTGAGAACATACTTGGAATGGATAACTAACTACCTTCCATAGTTGGGTGTCTATCTCCTGGAAAAGAAACTTGATTCATTCACTCAGCTATATGATAAGAAATATCTGTAGTTCTGAATGCATTGACGTGTAATTTTGTTTTCTAAAAACTATACTTACAGAGAATGGTTACTCAAACTTATTCATTGACAAAAAACACCAAAGACAAACAATTTAAACTGGTCAATGACTAAGTTCCAAAGAAAACTGTCTTCATGAATTTGGAACTCAAAGGTGATCAGGATTTAGAAAGGCCCAACAATCGTCTCTCTGAATCAGTCGTTAAGACGTTCTTTGCAGCGAAACTACAACTTATCTTCTCCAAATGTGAATTGTTCTCCGTTTCTGTAAAAGATAGACTGTGTCGTCTGACCACTTTTGTATACATCTGTCATTTCCCTTGCTCTTCTGCAGCAACGTTCATAGGTCGCAACCAGAGACTTCTGTCGCTCCAGCAACGGCAACCATAATTTTAAGATAATTTATCAAATTTCTGCTAAACTGCAATGCTTTTCTCCTTCCAAACTTCGAAAGACAGAGGAAGCCTTGGCAATTCATAAACTCAAGCCATACCTTTGTGGACGAAATAAGTATCTACAGTCACTGTTTATAACTTGGACGTAGAGGGGTAAACATTTATTTATTTAATCTATGTTATCGCTATTCTCACTTTAAAGTTTCCGGTAGTATTTCAGTTGTCCTATTTATCATTTTAAGTCCATAAATATTTTACAATTTTAAATTCTATTAGTTTGTTCCCTGAGTTCTAGTAAAAAGTCGTGACCATTGGGGTCAGATACTCATCGATGACAATGGTTAGCGGTCGTGATATATCCTGAATCAGCAGAATTTAGGATTCATGGGCTAGTCACTGGATCAGGTCCCAGTGGCTGAAAGGTCTATGAGCTAGCCTTGTACCCAGTAGGTCCTGGGTTCGAAACCTGGTGCATGCGTACATTGAAGAGTCCCAAACTAGGACGAAACAGCTGTCCAGTACTCCCAGTTTTTCCAATGGTTCTCTAGCCGATGTCAGCTCATGATGAAATCCTGTAACCAATCAAATCAAATCCCTGCAAGCCAGTACTTAAATTCTTTTCTACTAAACTTCTCACCATGTTACGTCATGTCTTAATTGCCAACTGGTCTTATTAATCCAATTAATTTTATACCCCTTTCTATACATACTATGAATTATTCCGAATATAACATTTATTTTGTCAGCTGATGATAAACTGTGATTATCATCACAAACATTTGAATTGCATACTACTTCGCACTATTATTTTATTTATTCATAACTTGGTTTATATTTCCTCACGTGATGAAATAATTTCTTAAAAACCATATGTATACGATTGTACAGATTGATAATAAATTCGTTGAAAAGAGTCTCATTGCTGGATATTTGTGACTTTAGTGTTACTATGGTAATTATCAAGTTATACCTGTATCTCCCATGCTACACAAGAACACACTGTTTAAATATAGGAATAAGTATGCAAAACAGACTTAAGAATTTAATAGAATTTGAGATTTTCCCGTCGATTGATTAAACCGAAGTGCTCGTTCTCAGATTGACATGTCGGCTTCCTATGCAGATGCTTTGACAATGTCTGGGTATTTAATAAGAACTTAATTTGTGGATGGTGGTTAGCAGTGGAATCCAGGATGCGCACTTCGTCCTATTTGGGACTCGTCATCTGGATGTGTTGAGTACGTAACAATGTGATTGTACACTTTTTGGTTACTTGTATAAATTCGAGATATTGTACATAATTTTTGTTTAAAACGCTTCTTGTTGAAATATACATAACTTCCGTGTACAATTGAAAAATACACTCTGCTGTTGGAGACTTCGTCTTCTCCCTGGTCCCTTCTGCTTACTTGCCCCACTCACACCGTGTTGTATACTTCGGATTTATTGTAGGAGCCTACTACTTTCAACCGAAGACATTTCTACAACCGGAACACAGCAGCTACAGCAGACGCAGTCCAAACAGTTAACGTGCCTGTGGATTATATAATTAATTTGTAGCCGAGGACTTATACTTTATAACCAAGTAATCCTTTTTGTTGCTATAACTCGTCACTGTATTTTTGGTAATATATTGTGATTTAACACTCCACTGACTTGGATTATTACTTTTATATTTGGAATGTTAGTGAACTCTAATATTAGTCCCCTACAGATGTACCTGCATTTCTCAGTGAGTGATGATGTTCCCACCGAGGCTCGAACCCAGTGCCCATAGTTTCAAACGCCAAAGCGTTATCCACTAGACCACTTGGGCCACGAGAGCCACCTCTTGTGCAACGGGTCACATTAATTATTGAATTGAATTTTTGATTTTCCCGTCGATTGTTTGGACCGAAGTGCTCGGTCTCAGGTTGACATGTCGGCTTCTAGTGCAGATGCTTCGACGAGTCAGCCTGAGACCAAGCACTTCGGTCCAATCAATTGGCGGGAAAATCTAAAAAATTCAATTAAATTAATATGACCCGTCGCACAAGTGGTGTCTCTCATTATCCAAGTGGTCTAGTGGATAACGCTTTGGCATTTGAAACTACAGGCACAGGGTTCGAGCCTCAGTGGTAACATCATCACTCACTGGGAAATGCAGGTACGTCCAGATGACGAGTCCCGAATAAGATGCAATGCGCATCTTAGATTCCACTGCTATCCACCATCCACAAATTAAGTTCTTATTAAATGCCCAGACTTAAGTATTCCTTAAATAATTATCGTGGGAACTGGTTGGCATGAAATACATCAAATAAGTGTGTCGTAGACTTCTACCCTGATGATAAAAATTGAAATAATGATTTGGAGAATGAAAACAGAAATTTTTCTAAAATGCGATGCAAAATATCTTTGGCGTGAAAAGTGTGACAGTAGTAATTACCTACCTACATGAAATGTAGGGAATAAAAGATGTCACACTGTATCTACAAGTTCACCTGCAGTTGTGGTGACATATATATATATATATATATATATATATATATATATATATTAGTAGGGCCAATAGAATGTGCCAGTATTGTCGGAAGGATCGTTTTTCTAAATGGTTATTAGTTCACATAGTAAAGCCAAATGCACTTAATTCAAATAGAAATCCAGCATCATCCAATGCAAAGCATTCACTAATATCTGGTCACAAAATCAGTATTATTGATTGCTTCGTAATTATTTCACATAACCCAGTTTAATAGTTGTGATCTACATTACAGACTACATTTAGGGGATCTATGCTCATGAAGTCTAGATAGACAAATAGATAGATATCTTTAATATGGAAAGGAGAAAAAGAATTAAGTAGTCGTAATATGTTACTTATGCATTGGCTACAAGTTCGATCACGGATCTATGTCAGTTAGAGAACCATTGAGAAAACTGAGAGTACTGGAAAGCTGGCTGGTCCTAGTTAGGGACTCTTCAGCAGCACGCACCCTCTAAGGCCTGAACCCAGGACCTTCTGGTTACAAGGGGAGCTCGTAGACTCTTAAGCCATTCGGACATTACCCATTTCGCGATGTATTTAGCACGACCACTAGCCAGTGTCATCGGTGAGTAACTTTCCTCTTACCTTACTTGGAGGACACCGGTGGTTACAACTTCGCACTAGATCTCCAGGTAACTCGTTGTGTGGTGAGAGCAGGCAGCTAGCCAAATTGGTAGACAATTATTTACGTCAATGTTTGTGTCGCAAATATTGGTCGTGAGAAAATATGAACAAGACTGATTCAATAACCAATCAGAGCAGACTTTGCGTAGACAAATACAGTCAACATGTAGATGACCTGACATTCAAGAAACAGTCACAAAGAGATGCAATGTCAACTTTCTGTAAGAGAAACAACCAATCAGAAGACTGTGTTTGTTTGCTTGAATAAGCTATAATAATGTACATGAAAATATATAAATAAGTGTTGATTTCCTTAATAAACGATCTGTTGCCTAGCCCTTGTCTTCTGTTGTTACAGTTGTATAGAACCAGTCGTTATTAAGCAGTAGATCAGTTATGAAGTGTTCGTTTGCAGGGATTCTATTGGTTACAGGTTTGATCACAATTTGACATCAGTTAGAGAACTACTGGAAAACCTGAGAGTATTGAAGAGCCATTTCATCATAGTTTGAGACTCTTCGTCAGTCAGCTCGTGATCAAACTTTCTGTAAACCAATGCTTGATACTTGTGAATTGATAAAACAAACCACATAACCACTTCATGAATGGAAACTCTTATTTCTTTTCATTTCTTTTGAAGAATAAAAGTGTAAGTTCAAAGGAATTATTATTTATCATACGTTTATTTTGAATAGAATGAGAAATACTCGGATTTGTTGAGAAACAAATTATCTACAGATACCATCCATATGCATATAATTACATAATTGTTCTTATTACTTTTTTTCTTAGATTTCATTCTTATCCAAGTGAATCATACAGAGAGTTGTATTCATTATCGCCTTCACTATCGTATTCTTCATTCGTAGCTTCTACAATTCTAGTCTTTGAAGTATTCTTAGAATGATGAGTCATTCTAGATTAAGAGAAAAAATATACAAAAAACAGCTATATGATTAACTTTTAAAAATTGTTAAATACAGATTTTCCGAAATGGATTGGATTTTACTCAGTTCCAATTGAAATTTCACCATAATTTCCTTTGGAAATGGAAATTTTTGAGACCACAAAAGGTGATCTGTTTGTTAGCATAAATAGAAAAACAAAGACAGAAAGCATAAATGTGGGATACAATATACTACTGAGCGACTGATATGAGTAGGTGGACACCACTCATTCCACCCAGTAGTGTTTGCTAGCTAGATCTAAGTGATTTAATCACAGGACGGGTATTTCTTTCATTTGTGCACCCAGTCTGACTCAACTCAGGGAGCTGAATTAGTTCAGACCACTCGATTTCTGGTCAGCTACTCAGGTAAATTATATATATATATATTCATATTGGATGCTAGTTTGTAACTAGTGTCATGCATGCAGTCCTTCATTACGTGCGGACCACACTGTGACGGTGAGCCACCTAGCATGATTATCATACTGAGGAATTGGCTGATAGAATTCACTTTGCACTAAATGAAGGACCAGACTTGTGACATTAGTTGTTGATTAGTGTCCAGTCGAAGTATTTATTAGAGTCCTATGGGAGGTCAGTCGCCAGACTGAATAGTATAGTGGTGATGTCTCTGACTACAGCCCTGACTGACCTGACGCGAGACAACATACGCGAAACGTAGGCCCAAGGCTTCCTGTCGATTGCCTCCAGTCATCTATCAGCTATATATATATATACATATATATATATATATATATATATATATATATATATATATGGAAAGGAAGCATGCTTTGATATGAATGAATCAGATATTCACTGATCGATAAAACATCCGTTTCAATATTATTTTATCAGAGTAGTGCAAATATTCAATCATAATTTAGATATGATAGAGAAGATTTGTGGCTCAGGTGGATGATTTTGATGTGGTTGTGTTCTCTGAGCTGGATAGTTAATTTGAGAAGCTTTCATCGCCCTACTAGATGACATCTTCAGCGCATACTTCACTTCAAGGAAGTGAGCTTTTAGATTTCTCCACGAGGCTGAAGATGTCGCCTAGTAGGGCGATGAAAGCTTTTCAAATTAACTATCCAGTTCAGACAACCCAACCACATTAAGATGAATCATAATTTAAACTATGAAATTGAAATTTCATCAAGGATTGAGATCATGAAATTAGTACTGTTTAATAACTGCTTTTTACTCTGTGGTCTGTTTATGTAAAGCCTTTTAGAACAAACTTTAACTAATAAAGAAACTGAGTAAATGGTTTTACGGAATTCAGAAAAAGTAATACCATTCAATAAATAATGATGCCAATTTGTACTGAGGATATTTTAAATAAATTATTACTATTGATAGGATAAAAACATTCATATATAATGTTCGCAAGTTTGTCAATGTCTCAGCGAATTTTACCACTCTATTCATCAGAATATTATAAAGAATAGTAGGCAGTTGTTGATTACTACTAAATTAAGTTGAAATCATCTTCACAGCATCAAACTCCAAAAAAGTGTTAATCAGACTCCTAGATAAGTCATTGAAAAACATTTGTGGTCATTTTATCATTTCGTTAGGTGATTTGAGTCGATGAGGCATGGACAAGAAATGACTGTAATGTAACAGACCCACTTCCAACAATTTTCCTCAAGTTTTCAGCTAACAAATCACCCGCTTTTTTCCACGGCCCCCGTGTGAGTAAAGAAACTATCCACTTTTTCATGCATTTTTACCCAGTCCACCTATGTTTACAAAAACAAATTCCCCGATTAGGCAGTCTACACCATCCAACATAGGTGAGGCTGTTTTCAATCTCATGGTTATCTAACCAATTTTTCTAGAATATTAGGATTTCCAGGAAAATCGTTTTTAGACAGTTCCATAATTCCTATGTTAAGGTTTAACCACTTGTTCGAGGCAGTAGCTACTATCCAAAATTCCATCTTATACAACATACAGCATTTTTTGCTAAATATTGAACAGACTGTGAGCTTATTAAGTTGAATAGTGTAATTTATACATAGAAATGTTTGTTTTAAAAGCTATTCAGGTGACTTATCAGATAAGGATGAAAGTAATCGTAAGGTGTTTTCGCATACAATATAACAAACTCCCTAACCAGTATTCCAGCTGTGTAGAAAAATCGATCAAACATCTTTAAAACAGTCAAAAGCAAAAACTGACGTGATTACTTCATTCTTCTGAGCACGAAAGACAAAATCACATAAGCTCAACTACCTGAGGGGATTTAGTCGTAATTGACTAGCCTTTGTTCTACCTATTCACTGAGTCGGGAACAAAAAGGAGGTTGGTTTCTTTGGTGACTAGTTATATACTCACCTGACATGTAGTAATAGAGAAGATTTATAGCTCAGGTGGATGACTTGGAATTAGTTGTGTCCTCTGACCAACCAGCTCAGAGAATACGATTAATTTCGGGGCATTTTGTTACTGACAAATTCATTCGGAAATAATGTCAATAAAGGATAGACAGTGTATCAATTCACATTGCTACGAGTAATATATGTGCGTCGGTGGCACAGTGGTTAGGACTCTCACCGACCACGCATATGGTCCGGGGTTCAAGCACCCGCCGACGCACACCTGATATCTATGGTCGGCCAGCGAAATTTGGCCTACCGATATCCATGCTGAAAATTCCATACTTGTACCAAAAATACAGTGTGGAATCAAGCTGTAAATCAAAAAAAATTTATCACATATTTAAAGTATTATATATATATATATATCAAAACGACAACTGAATGCATTTTAAATTATACAGCTCGATAAGATGAACTTACGATGGTGTCTTCTGAGACTGAATTGGTGATTCTGTTGTATTTCTGAACTCTTCATAATAATCATCTTCAACATCAGTTTTATTGACTGATTTCTCATCTAAAATCATATTCAAGTATTCAGCAACTGTTTTGTTTATATCAAAATCCATAAAAGAATCAGGGGAATAAACTGATCTTCCAGGTTGCCACAGATTCTGTGGACTATTTAAAATGCCTTTAGTTTAAAAAACAAAACATTTGGTTATTACCACGCAAACAAATAAGAATTATGTTATACTCAAACATAGATGAGATGTTTGTTATTAGAGTTTAAGTTTCAATGATTTGTAATAATAGTTATTATGTTTTGGTTAATTTTCTATTTCTCGTTGACTGATTACACTGGATGAACGTATTCAGTTTCTTTTGACATGTCCAGTCCTACTACAGACGCCTGGACGAAAGCAGAGGACTAACAAGACGTTACTTTGATTGCTGGTCAATAGCAGTGGAATCTAAGGAGGACATTTAGTCATTTGGCATTTAGAATGATGGGTGAGGGTTCCAGTCCCAATGGGAACACCACCACTTACCGAAAGCTGCAGGTACTTCAGTGACAAGTACGAAATGAGATGAAATGAGTATGCTGAATTTCACTGCAAGTCGCTTCAAGAAATAATGTGGTAAGACGATGTAGTGTTGTCATCATGATTAAATTTAAAAGAGTCATTCTAACCGTCTACTGGTAGTGATTTAAGAGAAATTATTGGCTCAATGGTCTACGAGCTAGCCTTGTAACCAGAAGGTCCTGAGTTCAAACCCCGGCGGATGCGTACTGATGAAGAGTCCCAAACCAGGACGAAACAGCCTTCCAGTACTACCAGATTTTCCAGTGGTTCTTTAACTAATGTCAGCTCATGGTGAAATCCTCCATGCAATCAAACAAAAAAATCCCTACAAAAACCAATACTTGAAAAGAAATTATTGTATAGAAAATTGATCATAGAAAATGTCGGTATGCAGGATGTGGTCACTTTGTTTTATGTGAAAGACAGTTTGAACAAATTATTTTTCAGGTACAGTTGATTGATAAACAAGTACAGAACAAAATAATACACAAAGCTGATGGTGATTCAAGACAGTGACAAGGATAAAATCTACTGATGGGTTTCATTTGAACTTATGTAGTTATGTATACAGAAGTTCTGTTGCAGTATTTTTGATTCCTGATGGAATTGACTTAAATATAGAACAAAAAGATGATCAAAAAGCATTAAGCTTATTTTATCAGTTTCCAATGGAGTGTCAAAGACGATAAGTCACTTCTCTCACTTATCTAGGCAGCATTGTTTCAACTACAGGTGGCACGGATGAGAATGTCAACGCCTGCCAGTATCAGAAAAGCAAGATGAGCCTTCAGTGCTTTAGAATCAGTATGTAAATCTGCTGTAATCAGTCAAAAAGAACCCTGAGTTGGATTTTTCACACTAATTTCAAATCATTGCTTCTACATAATTCAGACAGTTGGTGTGCATTTCGAAGGCAGATATTTCCTACAGGATAATGTAGATATGAAAGCTTATCAGCAGTCAAGGGGGCAGGACAAAATGGAGACGCTCTTTTAATGGCCTGTATTCCACTCGGGAGCTAAGGGAAACAATTATAATTCCGACTTTTATCAACTGCTACTTTTGTTGGCTTGTTACTAAAGTTCAGATAGTCCGCTGGAAAGCATAAGTAATCAGGAATTCTGTGGACGAACCAACCAAGAACCTATGATCCATCACGTGTACATTATGCAACGGATTCGACGTGTTTTGAAGATATCATTGAGTTGCATCCGAACAGGAAACGATGGGTTGGACATATATATCCAATGGTGACATGGAGGAGATCATGTGAGTAGAAAATGAAAACTTGTCGACACTCATGCAGCCGTCTAGTGAAGACAACAGAGAAGGGGATAAAATAGCGATATACTGCTGAAGCCCTATATTCCAATTGGATTCCAAGAGAATAATAATAATTTGCATTCAAATGGCGATGAAAAGGTACCAGGTGATACACTTTAGTTTCTAAATTTCAACTGTTTATTAACATTTGCTTCTTATAGGATACTGAAGCAGAAATGGTTCTAGAAGATATGATGATTTGAAATCAAAATCAAATACTACTGAAGAAACATATTCAAATTTATAAATTTGACAAAAGGTTTCATGTATAAATTGAAGGCTACTGGTATAATCTAGACACCCTAACTTCAGCTCAAAGCCGAGTACATAGATAAATATATCAAAGTTATATACCTAAACTATTCAGGAAGTCAGGAATTCGACTTCCCCTTGAAACTAGGGCTAGCTCTAATTTTGAGGTAAAATGATGTTTCTTACGAATTTCATTAGAGTTTTTCACCCATATATGCCAACTTCCAGATTTTTTCTACCAGACTTAGCAATTTATATAGTAATGAATAATGCTTCTCTATTTCTATAAACCATCCTTTTGTAATATTTAAAATGCGATCAGTCAGCGTTATACTGTTAACGCCAGTTAAACTTTTCTTCTGTAATAAATTTCCTGATTTGATGGATTATTATATTATTGTTTTCTTTAATTCCTAGAGGAACATAGGGCTTCAGCCGCATGTCTCCGTTGCGTTCGATTCCCCGCCAACGTTGTCACCTTACTCCACTTTTGCCAACATGCTTTCATCTCCTCTTCACATGACCTCCTCTATGTCACCCCCGCACTGACCACCAATTCGCCGCTTCCCATTCGGGTTCCATTCGAGCAATAGCCTGGCATATGATGTCACTTGATGGTTGGTTTTCTCAGAGTATGACCAATCCACCTGCATTCAATCCTGCATATGTTTTGCACAATTGGTTCCTGCTGGGTTAGTTTGCTCATTGCCAGAGATCCATCCCTGTTTCTGATCTTTTTCTAGCCGTCTATCTGATCTTGAGTAGTATTGAGAGAAGACAGCTGTTGATGAAAGTCTGTAGTTTGTTCGAAGTGCTCTTCCTGACGTGCCGCCAAGTCTCTGATCCATATAGTAACACTGACTGACTTCACATTGGAGGTGGAAATCCGGCTCTTATTTTTCATGCTGAGTGCTGTTGACCTCCACACAGACTTGAGAGAAATGAAAGCTTGCCTTGCTTTCCCAATTCTCGCTTTGGGAAGAAATAATCACTTATGTGGTGAATACCATATAATCCCTTAACTAACTGATTGACTCAGTTTCAAGGCAGAACTTTGCAAAAAAAACTGCAGCATTTCAAGTTGTTACACTTCAGCTAAAACACATTAAGGCATAGAAAAGAAAGGAAGAGTTCGAAAGAACTATAATGAACAGGATGAAATGTAAAATGGAAAAATATGAAAGCTTAATGCTTCTGAGAGATGACAAAAACACAATGAATCTGTGCCATTACTCCATAACATCAAAAATGTCAAGCCATTAGTTTTTAGCATGCCAAGGACCCTAACTAGGCCGTCAACATCTCCCCATGTGGTTAGGGTTAAAGACTCAAAGGATTTGATGCTATATTTTTGTTTGACTACCTCTGACTCTTTTCCAACCTATCTCTGTGTCAGTTAAGATTGCTTGACGTGGAAGGCAGTGGCATTGTATGCATCACACATGTCTTAGTCACTTCATTCGACATTGCATCATAACCTTATTGATTGATTTGCTCTCCTTACCTAACACTCGGCGTCTAACCTTAATATTACTAATTACATTATACTACTAAAATATGAGGTACAGAAAGCAAACATTTGTCAAGGTACAATCCCTTAACATATCATATTGTCTCAGGTTACTTAATTCGTTGAACTTTCATTAATCTTTCAGATGAATTACATACTATGAAATTACACTGAAGATAATGTATATTATTTATTTGAAAAGTTTTCTCTCGGCGAATTCAACCTACCATCTGATCCCATCAAGATGCCTTTTGTTTTGATTATTAGACCTGAAGACTTGTAAATATATTGATTATAAAATTTAATCTGTTAAATGGACACTGGAAACAACACTGACCACAAAAAAGTGAAAGTGAAACTAAAAATCCTTTCCGGTTAAGATATGAATTGCCTTATTATGAAGATAATCAATAATTTGGGAGAGAAAATTTTAACCTTAAACTGAGAGGAGATGGAGAGTAGAAAGACGCCCAGACAAAAATTTCATCCAACCAATTTTTAAACCCTTACCCAAGGTTTCAGTGATGAGTAATTTAAAATTTTGCTTAAGTGTACCAGTATTTGCAGCATAAATTTGTGAGTATCCTTAAATAATTTTAACGGTGAGTCTGACTGAATAGGTGTAACATTATTTATAGTAATCTGAGAGTATTTAGGAAGTGAAAATACGGCTTTTTTGAACTTTTCACTGTACAACTAAAAGTTTCTTCGACAGAAATAATGTTATAATGATTTAAGGAATTAGTCACAGTATTGAGTCTAACAAAAGTGTTAAGAACCAGCGTTTTAACAAATTCACTCCGTGTCATATCTAATCACTTCTAACATATAACGTCAGTTTAATTTCATCTTGAAAATCACTTTATGTTGGCATAAGTACTTAGTCAGAATCTTTAACACTTACTTTATTTTCAAATATTGGTTTTGTAGAGATTTTTTTTTATTAGATGGAGGATTTCATCATGAGCTGACATCAGTTAGAAAAGGAGGACTGGACAGCTGTTTCGTCCTAGTTTGGGTTCGAACCCCAGTGGGTGTGTACTGCCAAACAGTCCCAAACTAGGACGCAACAGCTGTCCAGTACTCCCAGGTTTTTCAGTGATCCTCTAACTTACTTTATTATCGTCAGTCAATATGGATAGAGAACTTCAAAAGTGGATCTATTTTTCTCACCTGTAACTCCCTACTTTACTTTGATATTACTCATTTGATTGTTCAAACAGACATTACTGCTGTTTTATGGATATCAGTAATCCAAAGTCACCTGGTTTATTGACGAGAAAAAGTTGTTTAGAAAAGGAAACTTCCTATGTGATTAGGTTAGCATTCTTTCAATGATTTAGACGTGTTTGAAATTAGCTTCATGAATGACCCAGCCGCTTTATTAAGCATCTACACTGTTTATTGCATATGTGAATCTTTTCAAAATCTTCAGTAGCTATGATAGCAGGTCGACTTTTTTTATACAAATCTTTCATTTTTTAGGCAAAAATTATTTTGCTTTTTTATTTATGATTATCTTATGATTTCAATGATTAATGTAGACATTTAAAGCGTTTTAGAAACAGACTTACTTGCTTCCTCATTTCTGTTCACTACTACTACTTCTTTTTCTATTTCTTCATCTTCTTCTGCAGACTTGGCTCTGTAAAGAATTAAAATCAATCCAAAAACTGTGAAGCATTTTGAACGTTCAGTTCACTACATCTCATTGAACTTCAAACGTTATGGAACTCGTTTTGAATACAGTTTCCCTGGAGTTGATTTTCCACATACCAGTCTACGAGCCACACAATTACTACCTGGTTAGCAAAGCTGAAGTAGACAAGGAGGAATTCGAACTCATGGCCCATTAGCTGAAAGCTGTATGCATCAGCCAGTTAATCGAATCTCCATATATTTCACGAAGAGTAATCACGTAATATATAGATTAGGAAATCATGCTATCTTTTTTCGAACAGTTTAGATAGATATTATCCTGAAAGAAATGAACTCATTGACAGAGTTCTTGTAGCCTAGTGGATATTGCTTAGCGCATCAGTTGTTCGATGTTAGAATATTTATCAACCATTCCATATGTGGTTCAGGTTCAATTCATGCCTGACACACTCCTTAGCCTCGAATAACCGGTATTAGGCCCGGTGAAGAGCGAAGGCTGGGTGTAAAGCTAACAATCCTACCTTGTAAAACAATTGTCACTGCTCCTGAAACTTCAAAGTAAAAGCTTGAAAGCCTATGTTGTATTTACAAAACAAAGGGATAAGAAATATTGATTATTATCATTATTCAAAATATCACAAAGATCATCGACTTTATACAGTTTTTACTTTACAGTATACATTGTTGAACTTGTCTTCCCTGTCTCTTTTGACAGCTGTCAAATGTTTCACTTCAAAATTGTTGCATGCCGATAGTTCGCATTTAAGCCTACACTTGTAGTTTGAAAAAAAAATGTAAATAAGGCTCTACTAACATATCAGCATCTTTTTCAGTAGCTTGAGTGTTGTAATCCATTTTGTCATTTTTGATAATACTTGTCAGATGTTGGCCAGCAGTGCCTTTTTTAATCCCAATAAGAGTACATTCGGCTGATAAGTCTTGAATAGGATGAAATATACCTTCTGGATCATATAAAAACTACTATGATCAATTTGTCGTATTTGAAAGATTTAAATAGCCTTTTATAGAGCCTTTAATCACATATTCTTATGAATAGTTTATTCCCAGTAACGGATGATTCCCGCTTGTTGATATTGGTTATGAACTGAGGTTGACTGCAACAATTTACTCAACCCAATGTCTTAAACTTAGATGAAATGCTTTTCATAAGGACTAATATAAGCTTAATCAAAAGTCCATTAAAATTCAAACAGTTCTTTTGTTTAAAAGTATGATAGTCAATATTTTAAATCCCTATTGCAAACCTGAACGGTTTAGTGACTAGCTGTAATACTTAAAAATATATACTACTGATTAAGTGAGATGAGTAGTTGCATACCACTCAGATCAACCAGTAGAGTATGCTAGCCATAACTAAGGGATTTAAACACCGGAAAGTCGTTTCGCTTCTCTGAGACCGAGCTAATCATTGATGTATCCGGTTAGACCCAGTTTTATACCACTCACATCAACTAGTTTACCCAAATAGCCAGATGAAAATCAGATGGTTTGAATTTGATTCAGCTCTCTCAGTTGAGTCAACTGAAGAGGTCAGCCTAGAAGGAGTGAAACGGCTGTCTGGTGTTTAGATCATGTAGATCTGGGTCACAAACACTACTGGTTGATTTGTTTGAGATCCAACAACTGATTCCAATCAATGAGAATTATGCAGTATCATGTGTTTATGCTTGTTTTCTTGATTGCCATTTACAATTTCGTGCAGATCACATATTTTGATCTAAATAATCTCGGTTTCTAAAAGAAACTTTGGTGACATAATCACCTTGAACTGCATAAATTGAGAATTAATTTGAAAACCCTTAATACGATTTATCGCTATAATACTGCTTTAGACCAGAATTACTATTTACCCGTCTACATTTGTATCAGTTTCTTCAACAAAAACAACTAACTCTGCCGCTTGACAACTATTCAAGATGACGAATTGAGTAAGGCATCCATGCAAGGAATTCGAAAATTCAAACTTCCTACGTGAATACTTTTACGAAACAATAAAATAGTGAAACAGCATTCACTATTCATAATATTACTATGCAATGACAGAAGACAAGGGCCAAGCAACAGGTCTTTTACCGAGAAAATCAACAGATATTTATAGATTTTTGCGTACATTATCATCCGTTACTGCTAACAGAGAAGCAGCGTCTTCTGATTGGTTGTTTCCCTGCTGAAGTTTATTGTGTCATCTCTTTGTGGCTGCTTCTTAGACAATCCGGCGATATATCAGAGAATAGTATCCGCCCACGCTAGGTCCGCTGTGATTGGTCGTTGAGTTCCTCAAGGTTAGGCTTGGTTCTAGTTTTTTCATGACCCTGATTTAGGAAATAAACATTCACGTAAATCTCTGTCTACCAATTTTGGCTAGCAGACAGCTCTAACTACAACTAAACTATGGATTTGTGTAGAATTTTCTTGAAATCAAACTTTTAAATTTAAATGCACCTTCATTCAAGTAGGACAGAGAATGAAGGTACTGATCAGCTGACTGGCTGTGATGTCAGCCAATTGAAATCTACCAATCAAAAAATATACCAACTGACAACAGGCGTATAGGCGTCAGGCCAGTGATCTAGTGTGGGCAAATTACGCATTATCTCATTAATAGATTTCAGTTGGCGGATATCGGAACTTGTCAACTGATTATGGCGTTTATCTGCTGCATTTGGACTCAATATTCAATGATTTGAACACACTTAGCACACACTCTTATTTACCAAAAAGTAAAAGTTATTCGAATCAATTAATGATTGAGTTTCATTGCAAATTAAGAAACTATGAACATTTTGATTGGAATCATCACCAAATACGCCTAATCTGTATGCATTAGGCCATAGATTTAATAATATGTTATTAACAGCATATCACAAAACTCACTTAGGATATTGTTCTGCTTTAAAGGCCTCATTAACTTCACTTAAATTATCCTCAGAAGAAAAGGTTTCACTAATCAGCAGTTTTCCATCGAAGTTATTTTCTCCGAGTTTATCATCATTTTTAGTGTTCATAATCTAAAACACATAAAAAACTACTTATGATTTTTTTATAAATAATATACCAGTAAGCTAAGCATTGCAAGAATAAGTCATTAAAAGTACCTCATTTCTTTCGAAGGATACTGGTTCCAAGTCTTCTACAGGATAAAGAGCCAAAGTATCATTGAGCTGCACTTCCATAGTAGCCAACTGATGTAATTCATCGAAAGAAATTCTATTAAGTTGAAAATCTTGCAAAATACGTTCTTTTTCGTTGTTTTCCTCCTTCTGTTTTTGAGTTTCTTATCAATTCAATAATTGCAAAATGATAAAAAGAGAATGCAAGTTAAGTTTTTATTCAAAGTCAACATTATTCTTATATAATAGTTAACATTTATGCGTAAGGAAACAGAGGTGAATTGAACATAGACTGAAGAGACCGCTGAATGTTGTCGTAAACCTGTTAGGCTGCTGAGCTGAACCTGACTAGAAAACAACAAGTTGGACACGTGTCCTATGATAACATGGAAGAGCTCATGTAAATGGAAAATGGAAGCTTATGGGCAGTCATGGAATAGGCTAATAACTACCACAGACAGCGAAATGGAATGATGGTGTGCTGCATCATTCCGAACTCAAAAAAACATTAATGGTAATAAACGTCAACACTTGTTAGTTAACAATTCAGAAATATCCGAATTATTAGTGTTGATCAAAGACCTTTAATTACGCAATTCAATCTATCTGCTAAGATGAATATACAATAACTATTTTTTATTTGGCTCACTTTATCCATTATTACTAAAAAATCTTGTTTTAATTAAAAATAACTGCCTAATTTCAGTGAAGATGTCGTCACGGAACAACGTCAGTTGGAGGTCATTCAAAATTAGGAAACACTGAACAAAAATTTCGTCTTAGGTTTGCGTCGGTGCGTTGGTAGCACAGTGGTTAGGAATCTCGCTGACCATGCACATGATCCGGGGTTCGATCCCCTGCCGGTGCACACCTGATATCTATGGCCGGCCTGCAAATTTGGCCTACCGATATCGAGTGCTGAAAATTCCATACCTGTACCAAAAAATACGGCGTGGAATCAAGCCGTAATAAAAAAAGACTTCAACAATTGTCAGCAGCTATCAACAAGCCTGATCTCATAATCTGAAAGCTGTGGGTTTGATCCCATATGGGTTTCTGTACCCTCCATCCATACACTTAGGTGGAATTCACTGTGGTTACCAAGACAAAATACTTTATAGACTGTAGAATTATTATTACTACTTCTTTTAATTCCTAGAGGAACACATGACTTCAGCTGCACATCTCCATTGCCTTCTGTTTTCTGCCAACTTTTTCACCCCACTCCAAGTTTGCCCACATGCTTTCATCTCCTCTTCACATGACCTCCTCCAAGTCAACCTTGCGATGACGACCAACTCGCCGCTTCCCTTTCGGGTTCCACTTGAGCAATGGCTTGTCTAGTGATGTCACTTGATGGTTTCCTCAGAGTATGGCCAGCCAATCCATCTCCATTTCTTCCTGCCTATTTGTTTCACAATCGGTTCCTGGTTGGTTCGCTCATTTCCAGAGATCCCTGTTGCTGATCTTTTCTGGCTGGCCATCTGATCTTGAGTTTTGAGCGAAGACAACTGTTAATGAAGGTCTGAAGTTTGTTTGAGATGCTCATTATGACGCACTGGCCAAGTCTCTGATCCGTAAAGTTGCACTGACTTCACATTGGAGTTGAAAATCCCGATCTTATTTTTGACGCTGAGTGTTGTTGACCTCCACACAGACTTGATAGTAATGAAAGCTTGTCTTGCTTTCTAGGTAGATAGAGGAGGTTGTTTCTTTCAGGTTCCTTCCATTTATACCGGCTTATTGTTGTCTCCTGTTGTTGTTGCTGGTGGTGTTGGTCAGGAATCTTCATCACCTCTGTTTTCTCTATGTTCAACTGAAGGCCTATCTTTGATGCTTCTTCTGCCAACTTGTTGCTTTTCACTTGCATATCTTCCAGTTTATGGGAAATCAGACATATATCATCGGCGAAGTCCAGATCCTCCAAGTTTTTTGTGTGAGTTCATTTTATGCCTGTTTCCTCATTGCCCGTTGTCTCTCGCATTATCCAATCTACTGCAATCAGGAAGATCATTGGCGATATTAGACAGCTCTGTCTCACTCCCGTCCTCACTTTGAAGAATTCCGTAAGTTTCCCGTTTTGGATTACTTGACATGCAGCATTCTCGTACAGCTGTTGGATGAGAAGCATAATTGTCGGCCACACCCCGTAATAGCGAAGTAGTTGCCAAATGACCTATCGATCGACGCTGTCGAAGGCCTTTTCAAAGTCGATGAAGTTGAGATAGAGAGGTGACTGCCGTTCCAAGCTTTGTTCAAAGATGATCCGTAGTGTATCGATTTGATCAATACATTACTTGTTTCTCCTGAATCCAGCTTGTTCCGGTCGAAGTTTTCATCTAGGCCCTGTTTGATTCTTTCCAAGATGATGCGGCTTAGTGTTTCGCTTGTGATGGACAGGAGCATAATTCCACGCCAGTTTTTGCATTGACTTGTGTGTTCGCTACCGAAATTTCTCAGTGTAGAACCAAGCAGCTGCTCAATGTTTTTTTGGTTTTCAATTATCTGTGGTTCTTGTTAATTCGTGACGAAATCGACATGGCAACTAACCTTAATCCCTACAAAAACCCAAAATCTAATTTATTACCTGAAAAATAAACTGTAAATAATGGAGCTATATTTTTTTGAAATTGCTTACTGAATCTGTAAGTGAAAAAGATCGAGAAGTTTATTCCCAACAAACACTGAGCAATTCGTGTCTTATTTTCATCTGAATCATTTTATAGTCTTTATTTCTTCCTCATGTGTGTCTTGAACATCGTGTTTACAGTTTCAGTGAAGGTTTCAAAATGAAACTATTCAGTACACAGGGTGTGCTTATAAAATTACGGCAACCTGTTGTGGTTAGTATTTTCACTAAAACACATCAATATTTTAGAAATAAGTAAATTTCATTGTCTAAATGAGTAGTTTTATGAGGTAATAATTGAAGTAGAATAGTTACATCATGTACAAAAGGCCTTGCATATCATAAGTCTACAGTTTATCTTTCCGGTATTCGACAAACTGAGTTAAACGACTCATAAATAGGCCATGTTTTGATTGTATTCAACCTCCACAAAGTTGTTATCGAATGTTATATGGATTATAAATACCTGTGTTCACCATCACTGCAGACATTGGCAAGACAAGTCTTCTCACAACATGTTCTTATCTTTCTGTTTTAGAGAAGGGCAACAAATAGTTAACTGCCGCTCATATAGTGAGTTTTAACGTCAGTAAGTAGTTGTTTCCTTATTGTGAGTGCCGTTTGACAAGAATTCAAGGAATGGATTCTGGTAATGTGTGGATGACACTAATCCCATCTCATGGATAGACGGAGCGGTGCTCTGTTTCACTCGACTAATGCGGCCATAACTGTCCTGTAATTGCTGTCGTACAGATGTAAAGTGGACGCTTTGTGACGGCACTTTTTCGCTAGGTATTTTATCCTCAGCTACGTTTTGATTTGACGAAATAACTTCAGAACAACTCAGTGAAATTAAAGCTGATGACATTACTGTATTCACATATTCATTCTGAGATATAACCTACCATCCACAGAGTTTGCTGAAATAGTTTCTCCGGATATAATTTGACGATGTGTACTGCTTTCATTTCCTGTGTGTTGAAGTTTGGAGTTACGATGCAGATGTAACAGTAATTTCTCCGCATAACTTATACTCGGCGTAAAGTGTATTTCTATAGGAGTAGGCGATTTGCACAAGGTTGAAACATTACGGCCAGGTATTACTGTTGAAGGTTTTTTCGATTCCTCTTGAAATCGTTTATTGTCAAAGCACTGATTTATCTCTAAGCCGTCTATATCTTCCGTTTGTAGTGCTGAGCTTGATTTACTTGTAACATCAAGGGAACTTTGACAACCCTATGGATAAAAATTTAAGTAGTTTTAATTAAATCAAAACTTTGGCCTGGTTTCTATAAAATGCATCATCTTACCAAATATTTAGAATTTGCTTGGAATTTCTACCACATATTGACATCAGTTACATTATATTCGAAAAGTAAAGATTGCCAAATAAATGCTTCTTTGGCCGCTTGAATGGTGTTCAGACCTTAAATCTTTACAATATTTAATCACTAGATTTAAAAGTAATCTTTACCTGAACTTGCTCAACAATTACGATGTTTATTTTAGACATATCGCACAGCTGCGTGTAAATCATTGAATGGATGTTGATGCTTTTGAGATGATTTTTTAAATACCAAGCGTATCATCGATGAGATTTTAACTAGAGAATCCATGAAACAACCATGTAGTTGGTTTGCACCTTTAAGAACTGGAGTACTAAACTGGCAAGACTATGAAGACAAAGAAAAGTCTAATTTGTGTTGTTCTTCTAGTCAATTACTTGGCCTTGACATATGCTGTTCTGTAAGACTAAAAAAACATCCGAATAGATAATGACCAAAATGTGATCCTGTCTTAATGAAGCTTTTAGCAAAATATCTTTGTACTTGGTTTACCGTTGCTGTTCTGCACTTCTAGGGAAACTTCATTTTCTATTTACCGTATCCTGAAAACCTTTGCTATTCCTAACAGAATGAAGACTGAATTAGACTGTAGATTGTTTTAACAATGAGACTTCTAGGGTGAAGTTAGAAATCTTTGATTGGACACCAAGTATTAACTAAAACAATGCGTTCAGTGCCCAGTTTGGTGAGGAATTTATTCTGTCTAAACAACTGCCTACAACTATTTTTTGAAGCATTACAATCTCAAAAATTCCTAATAAGATGGTTGAAAACCACGCGAAACGTGTATTGTTTCTGAATTAATGTCTAGAATGAAAACGTTAGAAATCATAGGTGACGGAAATATCCGATGATAGTTGTTCACTATACATCTCACTTCATAAAATTCTTGACTGGTCATCTGAGCTGTTTAGGAAGGTGAAGATAGAATTTTTATAATAACTTCTCCTACGTGTCATGAATGCGTCATTTACCTGATGCATTTCAATTTTTGGCCTGAATGTCGGTCAAACTATGTTTTCTAGCCGTTGTATATTAGCTTCGCCGGTTACTTCTAATATGGGTGTTTTCGTGGTTGTTTTTTAACCGTTCATGTAACTGACCGTCGTGCTGAAGGTATGTTGCAGAACATAGATCCTTTAGCTTCTCAATATTTGAACAATGCGGGTCTTTTGTGTCTTCGTGTATAGTTGTCATTGGTTAATCGCTACCTCATGGTTGCATTCAACCGTTTTGTCCACGAAAATAAAAGAATATCTTAACGGCATTTTACCTATTTGGATTTATTCGGCTTTCTCCAGAAACTGGGTTAGCAATTGATTTAATGGTCACATAAATCTGTTGAAGCCACCATCAAAGAAGAACGACTGATGGATGTAATTTGGGCCTATCATAAAAGCAATAAGGAATCTGTCAGCTTTCCCTAATTTACCATCTATATCTGTTTTTTGTTTTCCATGATTTAATGAATTTACTTGCGGTTTTCATTCAGTAGTTCAGTGTTTGGATAGACACTGTCTCGAGTTGTTGGTATACATTACTGTCTTTCAACAACTCAAATTTCGTTCTGTAGTCTGCTTTCTCTATAACCACCGTCATTCTTACTTTGTTATTTGTTAGTACTGAGGTGTCATCTCTGTTTTTAGTCTCACTAAATTGCTTCGTCCCTGGGTTTTATTCTGTTTATATGATTAGAGTTTAGAAAGAATTATTCAATAGCTGGTGACTGTTAACTCTATTCACATATACCACAGTTTATCTAGAATTTTAGCACGTAGAACAAGCTAACCTGTAAAATAGCATTACCTACCTGAGATTACCTTAGTGAAGTCATTAAAAACATTCTTAAGTGCAACTGAGACTGCTTAGGGTTGTCTTGATTATATAGAATATAAAAATGATGAGTTCTTTATTTTGGATTTTTAAGCCGAGTAACTACAAGAATATGGTGTCAAAATAGCACGATATCGACACTGTTAATTGAAAAACTTACAGTGCTCACCGAATGAGTAGATCTTGTTGATAGTTTTATTTCACCGACCTCCTTAGGCTGGGATGAATCAAATCGTGAAGTGGGAGTCTAAAATACTGAAAAAACTAATGTGCTTACTGATATGGGTACGGAATGATGTCGCCTAAGGGCTCCTTTCATGTGGAAAGTTGCGAAGCATTTAGCACAGTAGTATTCACTGCATTCTTGACATGACTTTACAAAACCGTTAAAATATTATAACCTACGACGACTGCTATTCTGTCCTCACACTGGCCACACTTTTTCCGGTGTTTATTGACGGAATTTCTGGATGGACTTTTGTATGAATCAACTAATTTTTGTATTACATCGCTATGGATATCTGCGGGTTTATCTTTCAAAATATTATATCAAAATAATAAGCTACTTTTGGGAGCTGAGATGGGTTTCAGAGTTTTAAATCTTAGTTTGCTCACCTACATAAAACGATTAGCCATATAGTAAAATATCTTCATACATCGATCAAAGCATCCGACCTCGGTTTATGTGTCGTAGATGGCGAGCGGTTACTATCCCAGATTGATTCAGAACTGCTATACTAATACTTCTTGTTGTGCGCAACATTACCTTGATTTATTTCTTTTAGATATTTCTGCATACAGCGTGGACTTTAGTAGTTTCAACCTTTCCTCTATTTCTCTGTTTTCTGTCTCTAGTAATTTATTTTCTTCCCGTTGTTTTACAGTATCACTTAACAGGCAATCAGCATGATTTCAAAGGCTTACAATCTTCTGTCAAGCTTCTTCATCAGGATATTTTCGTATGGCTTTCAGTCAATCATCTGACTAATCTTATTTGAGATCTAGGGTGTATTCGGATTACCGCCTTTTTGTTCCTCAGGCCAACGTATACCATGAGTTCATATCAACACAAACAATAGGATCTACAAACACACCTTTAATTCAAAGTTTGTGTGACTGATATAGCAAACCACGAGCTGTTAAACTTCTTATTTGTAGGTTAAAGGATGACACTGGTGTGTAAAATAAAGAGGTTAACAATCAAACCTAAGAATCTGCAAGTCCGAAATTTGACTTGGATATTCACTCTCCTAAACATGCGGTGATAACAGTTCCATTAGTGATATTTCATGTTGCTAAGATAGTTACAGATACGGAACCAATGTTTTCCGACAGCTCAAAAATAGATGGTGTATGATGTGTAAGGCTCACTCTGAACATACTTTAACTCCTCTATCTGCAGAGTATTATCCGCTTTCCTGAAAACCTTTATTTTTTTTACGTGTTTCCTTTGTGTTCATGTTATCTTGATGGAGAACAGTTCCCCTGATGAAGCTACATATCGTCTTTAAGTGTTTATATGTGACTCTTGACTCCAAATACAGTAAACCTACATAATTTTAAACTTTTTAGTTCAGCTGATTTAGTTATGCAGAGTTTATGGAGTTGTCAAGCACGAAAAGTAAATTTCATGGAGGTCTTCCCGCCGAAAGATCTAGCTTCCTCAACACTACATACTTTTTTTAATGACTATTGGCTGATAAATATGATCTATAATAGTGTGTTTGTTAACTTCCAATTCACCTGAGTTCTAGGCTTCTGGGAACCCAAAGAGTATTCAAATAAGTCCATTTTATGTTGAGTTCTGTGCTGTAGATTTTGCCCAGTAGGAAGAAGCAAACTTCTCGACTGAATCGGCGAATTCAGAGAACAAAATAATTTGAACTTTCTGGTCACAGATGCAAAGCAAAATAATTGAAAACCTGGTTTATTTCTTGTTCCTGTTCATCGCTCGCCGACTGTACATAGGATTTGTTCTAATGAGGATATTTCCAGTATAACGGATGACAGTGCAGGTGTTTGCAATCAGCTGCGATTTGCATGAAACGCCCTGATTTTTTAATCGACTACACGAATGAATTTGATCGTGTCGTTGTATATAGATTACAGGGACTATTATTCAGTAGTGGAGGGTTTCTGGATTATCATTGGACTAGGCTACCGACATCGTTTTGACGATGTAAACTTTCCCTTTTTCGTAGAGCGGAAGGATTACACGCTCTTGTCACTTTTCCACTTATCCAGTAGATGAGTGGTTCGCGGTCGACGGCAACTCAATTCCTGCCTTTCTTGTCAAATTAGCCCTAGTTTATAGGTGGCGAATGAAAATAAACGCTGCAGACATAGTAACATTATCATTTCTATAAAAACAATTAATGGGCGCTTTTTTAAAGTAGATTGATGAAAGAGAACAACAATGCCCAACTTCAGACCACATAAGCAATATTCACTCAATGCACCGCATACGCAGGAAGAACTTTTCGGCCATCTCTCCTGTCAGTGTAGTTGAAGAATGAATGATCAACAGTGTGAAGTCCAGTGTAGTTAGATCCGGACACTGACATTTTCTCATAATTCTCCTGGAATTATTCGTTTTATTTGTTGTCAATTCGTCTTTCCTCGCGTCTGCAAGTCTTCTTTGGACAAGTGTTATTTGGAACTTTTCTGGATTTTTCGGTCAAGTTCAATAAGGCCTGGGTCAAAGGACGAACAAAGCGTTTCGGAAGCAGATAGGAAAGTAAGTAATGATGAGTTGCCTGTTATACATAATGATGTCTGTGATGCTATGCGTGATAAGATTGATGTCCATTTTTCGCCGTCTAAGGATAATAGAGATTTTAAAATTTCTAAATTTGAGCCTCGATGTTCCGACGGAAACCCAGCTGACTATCCACAGTTTGTAAAGGTGTTTGAAGACATGTTGAGTGTGTTTGCAATAAATGACCAAAATGAAGTTGATGTATCTGTTGAGGTACTTTACTGGTGTTGTTGTAAGAGCTATATAGTGGTGTCAATCTGTGCCCTCAAAAGAAGGATATACTGAGGCGATGCGTATCCTACGTCAAAGGTTTGGAAGACCTTCGATGATTGTAAGGAATGTATTTGAGGCTGTTAAAGGTAATGGTATTCAACTACGAGATGACTCCAAGGCACTCCCTGAGTTTCTGGATAATCTGATGACTTGCAAGAATAAGTTGATTTCGATTAATTGAATGAGCGATCTGAACTCAAGTTCAGTCCTGAATGTAATAGCGAGACGCCTACCTACTCGACTGCAAAAAAAGTGGGTGAAGATATGCTCTCGTATAGAGGATGAAGGTATTGAGCCAAAGTTTGGTGATATTCTGAAACTGGTAAAAGATAGTGTCAACCAAGCTATGAGCAAGTTTGCCAGTATATTGCATCCCACCTCTGGAATGCAGAAGATAGAGGGCGAAACGCAATCATTTATGACGAAATGGTTTGAGAGAAGTGGATATCCAGAAAGCTTTATGTTCTCTAGTAACCCGTATAAACTTAGTGAGTGTAACAACTTTCGTGGGACGTCCCCAACAGATAGGTTACAAGTTGCGAGACAAATGCAGTCGTGTTTTACACGTTTGCAGGAAGTGCATACAAAGGCGAACTGTGAAGAAGTGAGCAAGATTAGCGGTAAGCTAAATGTGAAATTAGCGTCATCAAGGCCTGACTAAAAATTTTGTGACGATAATGGTGCAGTGAAGAAGCCTGTAGTTGCAAGTGGTAAGCCATTGTTGAATAGAGTGTCAAAGACGACACCTCACTTTGTGCAGAAGAAGAGAGTTACAGTTTCAGAGTCCAGTTCTTACTCCACAAGTTTACAAGGTATGACTAGTCAGGGTAAAGGTAGAAAACCTTTACGGATTTGTGAGGAAGAACCCTAGTCGTGTACTGTTGTTTAAGAGTTTAAAAATGATGAAGTCGAACAAAGAAAGGGCGGTAAAGTGGATATTTTTGACAATGATCATGATAGTGCACATTTGTCTTTGGCTGACCATGATGAGATGAGCGGAGTGCCTACTACTACTGGGTTGAACAAAGGTTCTGTAGAGCTTGAACGGGAAGTAGACTTAAATTCATATGCGGTTGCAGAAGGTAAGATAAGATAAGATAATAGCTTTATTCCAAAACAGTACTTGTGATACAGAATGGAATTCTCTGCATTTTACTACAATATTGCATCCAGTTAGTACATCAACAATAAATATAGTTCTACATAGATTAAAGTTATCTCAGTCAGTTTTGAAAACAACATATTAGCATGTCGGTAGTGAAGCCAAAATTAAACAGTGTTTGAAGGTGTTAGAAAAGTAGATACTACTAGCATATTTACTGGCGTAAGCGATAGCAAAATGTTCGAGATATACAGGGTGTGAAAGAACGAACAAGAATGTTTTAAGTAGAGTTTGTAAGGAAGAGAGAAACAAAACAGCACGTAACAAAAATAAATACAGAAAAAAAGAAAAAAGTAGAGAGAAAACGTTGTACCTGTAAATGATGTGAGTTGGAAAGACGAGATCCATTTATAATAATAATAATTTTATTTTCATATAAACATAAATTTACATGAAAATGCATGCCATTTTTACAGGCACGATCAAGTATGTTATAATGTCAAATCTTAAATTGTCTACAAGTTAATAATGTTTCAACAGTTAAATATTTGATACATATATATAATTACACTCATTGTCTGAACCAGGCCGTATAGTTATTGAATTGTACAGTTGTCCTCCAGGTTGAGCGGGAAAATCGACTTCGTTTCGTTTTCATCCCGTGGTTGTAGGCATACGATAACCAACCAATATTGAGGTAAGTACAACGTTTACAAGGGATTGGAAGCTGTTTTAGAAAAGTTAAAGTGCTAAGGTGAAACATTAAAGTGTAATAGATTAAGTGAGTGAAATATATCATTAATAAACACATTTATATAGAAAACAGAATGGGGAAGTAATTAATCCTTAGGCCGACAACGTTCATTTGCAATGTATAATAAAACCAATATATTTCGTACTATCATGATGTCCACTTTTGGCTTTAATACAATTATTTTCAAGCCAGTTGTTTTTATTTCATGCTTTTTTGTCTATTTGGTGCACAACCGTACCCTCCAGAGAATAGGAATAGAATAAGTCGAATCAAATTCATAAAGAGCTATAAAATGTTAGGTTTAATGGAATATAATGAGGATCAAGTAAAGACGTTATTAGAAAATAAGTGAGACAAGATATTGTGAAGTGGTATTTAAAGATCTGACAATGGATAGCAAGTTAATTTATAAGATGCCCCATAAATCTGTGCAGATCCCACGTGGTCGCATCTCAACAATAGGCTGAGCGAATGGTATATATTTAAAGGTAGAAGCATTATCTGTCAAGGCGTTCACTATTATCTTTTTCAAGATAAAGATCTAAGCCCTCATAAAAATCAGAAATATCTCGAGCCTTTAATTTGTATATTGCTGTTCCTGCAGAATGGGGCGATTCACCTTAGTGACCACCACCATATCTACTGATCAGCTAGCGCCACCCTCCCTCCTTTTTTGATGTTAGGCTCTGAGACTATGATTATTATGGCTACCGCAAATATATTGCTTGGTACCAGACATGTTCGTACCCCATATTCCATCTCCCTAGCTTTCTTAATGAGTGCTTCCAATAGGTCTCCACGTACATCTTTACGAACATATTATATATGTGTGCATGCATCCTGATGAACAGATTACTTTATAAGAAGTTAAAACCCTAAAGAGTAAAACGAATAGGTATTGTGAATAGTGGAGCAAGATTTAGCAGAACACTATAGTTAAGGTTCAATTTAGGTAGTATGGACTGAAGGTAAGGTCGGTTGGCAGGACTTAGTGTACTTATATATAGTAAACATCTGACATTGCAAAGTAACGTGTCTAGACATATTATAAAAAGATATTAACACAGAACCAACAAAATTTTGGCATTTGGTTAACAATACTGCAGTGTGTGTATACTGAAGAATGGTAGTTAGTCTACAGGGAGCCGTAGAGTAAATCAAACCATATATGATAAGAGTATAATCAATAATATAGTTCGTATATCAAATATTACACTAGGCTCAATAATTGAGTGTTATAAGGGAAACAAGCGTGGTAAAGCAAGAGAACATTTGATGCATAAATAT